AGAGTTTTGCAGAGGAAGTTTCACACCATCAATCTTCCGAGTGGAGAAGTGCGGCTGACCGTGAGCCGGACAAGTTCACCACAGACCTCTGACCAGCCATCGACAAGCCAATCACTGGTACAGTTTACTGCCCTTTCAAACATGACTTTTGGTCACAGTAAAAACTGAGCGCCAGAATAATGTGGCCAAATCAGTTTAAGAGGAGTGAGTTAGCCTCCAGGAAAAGTTGGACAGCTGAGGACAATATTGACAAAAACAATTTCTTTGTTATAGTTTTCATTTCATTGTGCCTCAGTGTTTTCAGTGACTGACAGTTCTCAGGCTTCTTTCACTTCTGAGTCTCGCTGTTAATACAGAGTGTAAAATACATGTTCAGCATTGTTTAAATAAGAACACATTACCTGAAAAATACATCATGGCACACTGTGCAGATACAGATATAATATTTAGTATTATAGCTTTTGTAGACAAGCAAGTAACCAATGCCATGTATGATACTCCACTTCCATATCATCAAAGATACTGTTTTAAAAACAAAAACAAAAAAACACATAGGTCATAAAAGGCCAGATGGTAACACTCTCACTGGACACTTTATTAGGTACACCTTGAGAGTAACAGGGAAGACTTCAGTGCCGCTTTAAATCTTTGCTGTTAAATTTTTATTATAATGTTGTGATGTTATTTGAGTTACTGTTTCCTTCCTATCAAGTCAACGCAGTCTGGCCATTCTCCTCTGACCTCTGACATCAAGAAGACGTTTTCATGCAGAGAATTGGATATTTTCTCTTTTTCAGTCCATTCTCTGTAATCCCTAGAGATGGTTGTGTGGGAAAATCCCAGTAGATATATATATCTGAAATACAACAAAATATTAAATTCTTTGTGGAATCCATTGACACTGCACCCCGTTAGCACACAAATGAAATAATATTGTGTTTTAACTTATCACCAGCCATTGCATTCTACTTTCAGTTACATTGTGCACAATATCCTGACTGTTTTAGAATCAGGGTTGTAGTATATTTCTGTTCTAACACAGTGTCAGAGTCAGATATAACAATCAAAAACAAAAACATATAAACAAATATTAATTTAATGTGTTTTTATCAACATAGGACTGTATGAATCTGTCCCGAATTCGACAAGTGGCACAAAAACAAACCAATGGAGGCCCCAGTAGAGTGCAATCAGATGAAGAGTTTATTAAGAATACACATGCGGGAAGAAGTACACAGCATCACATCAGCATAGGTCTTCTGCCCAAAAATACACAGAGAATGGTTTATATATCACCAGGGTTTGACGCCCCCTCCTGCGTTGTATAACATATTTTTGTATTTCTCAGAACATCATTTGTATCTTGTACAGACAATGAGACGATTTTTAGAGCTAAGGTCAGACACAGAAGTTCCTCTTTCTAACAT